CAGGAGACGCGGTAGTGTCTCCAGCCATGTTCAAAAACTGAGAGACACTACAAGTCTCTTATCCCGAGTTTAATTTTTTCCGAATATTTCAGGAACAAGCCAAAAGCAGGGTTAAGTACAAATTCTGGTGGCGGACACAAAGTCAGTAAGAACCATAACGCTTTCTTAGTCACTTAACACACAGAGAATAAAGACAGAACATACTTATATAAGTACCTTGTCTATATAAGTATAATGTTTAAATGTCTTTCATCTAAACGAAGAACCTCAATAAACGCGTTTTGTTTTCATTATATTACATTACTGATATGTCAACGTCTCGTATTCTGTATTTATTTGATTTATTTTTTTATTCATTCTGAAACAAAATATTAACGTACTTGTAGAGCCACAAAGAATGTGAGAGTTTTCATACGAATTGTTATACTATTATTTTACCGTAAAATGACTGTTGCTGGGACCAATTCAATCCAATTGATTGTTTTATTATCTTTTTTCATTACTTATAATTGCATTCTATTTATCATTTAATAAAAGAAATAAATTCAGTTATTTACATATATTCAGTTATATCCTGTAATTGGTAATAATATATTAGTATATATTGTTGTATGTACATAAAACTTTTAAATTATGCTACAAATATCGATCCTTCTCTAGCTCATTCTCTATAAACCTTTAAGAGTTCTTTTATTTTTCAGTCGTTGAAAATTACACCTCAGGAGCGGCTTAAGAAGAAAATGCAAGCCCTGTTGAACAGGCAATGTGAGTTGATGTTTGAAAGAATAAGAATTATTATGTGTCATAAAAAGCAAATGTAAAATGAATTCTTTTAGATAAAGCTGATAAGAAGGCTGAGCAATTGAGAATCGAGAAGATGGAGCAGCAAAGACAGGATCGAGAAGACGAGATTCGAGAAATGTCTTTAAAGCTTCGTAGAAAGTAAATAATTTTTATGAATTGTGATACAGCACAATTTTTTAAGTTTGTAAACTTAAATAGTAATATAAATTCTGTTTCACTTTTCAGACAGAGAGAACGAAGACATCGTTATGAAGGTCATAGTTCTGATACACGGTCTTCTGTGTCTCGTACACCAAGTCCGAGCCGTAGTCCAAGACATCATACTGTACGTCGCGATAGGCGAGACATGGACGGTGATCGCGAGCGGGATAGGGACAGGGAGAGAGATCGACGTGATGATCGTGATCGGAGTAGAACAGAGTCGCGTAGGAGATATAGAGATTCACCACTTCGTTCATTGAGTCCGAGGAACAATCGGTAAAATCCCCCGAATCTAACGCCTAGAATTGCGATTACCGAGTTGCACCGATAATTTATATTTACTGGACATTAGCGATTATCTCTATTAGTATTAATTAATGATTATTAACACAGAGAAGATCGATTAAGGGGAGATCAATGCTAATTCAGTGCAACTAAATATAATAATGTATATTTTATATGCTGCTAAAAAAAAACCTATGCCATTTTACGTTATTGCAGAGGCCTAGTCGACTATTGACTTCAGGACATACACTCTTCCATCCAAATGATTCGAAACCGATATTTTGAATATTTCCCGTTCAATTGCATTCCTTCCTTAAATCACTGTTAATGTCCGAAAGAATCGCATAATCGCATAATGAGGATGAGGAGTATATAGACCTGCCAAGATTGTTTCATAATGCGTTTTGAATTATATATAACGCAATTTAATCTTTATAATGTTAAATAAATGAAGGTATTTCTATATTATATTTTTGCTTGCACCGATTAATTTTCGCGATGCTTATATAAGAATTAGAAAAATTGCGGTGAGAATAGCTAATACATAATGTTATCGCGAAGATTATATATACTTTAATTTCGCAAGAAGGATGAAAATATTCTTATATTCTAGGATTGAGAGTGCACTCTTTTTACTATGTATTTCTCTTATTGTTAAACATAATTCTTCAATAATAAAGATGTTTATTTCACAGCAGGGCAAAACGGTGACTATTTTCTATACCTCTTATTATATGATATCAAAGGTAGAAAATCAAGGAATACGATATAATCTTACATCTCTTTATGTATAATCTAAACAAGTTATTAAATCTGCCGTAAAATATATTGAAAGCAAGAATATATGTTGCAATTAGAGATCGGTGAGATGGAACAAGATAGATATTTTATTAGAGAAAACAAATGAAAAACTCAAATCTAAAAAATGGAAAAAAAATAAAATTAATGAATTTAATATTGATCGTTAAAATTTAGAACATGTTTGAATACCAAAAAAGTCTTCTAATTAATTTTAAATTATAAGCTCGATAAAATATTTAGCAACATATTTATTGGCGTGCAATAAAAATAATGTGTTAATAGTTCTCTATCTACCAAGTATGTACGTCTTCTAGATATTATCAGAGAGAAGCCTGAGAGCGGCCATGCCCGGGATTTAGCTGTTACTTTATTTTGAAACGCCAC